CCATCCACCCCACCCCACCCCATCCCATCCCTGAGACACTCCAGAGACTCCTTCCCCAAATGAACAGGTAAGTATCAGCCCCATGAGAGGGAAGATGGGTCCTGAAGAGACAGTCCCATTCGTGGTGACCCTGAAGGCCTCAGTACACGCCACCTTCTACAGCATGGAGCTGGTATGCAAGGTAGGACCAGCCCCACACAGAAGGTAAGAGGGAGGAGCACTTCTCTCAGTGCAGGGGCTGGGCGGCCTATGTCAGCCTCAGGCCCCAAGAGGGCAGGGGCCAGCCCCAGGGGGACAGAGGCCCACAGCAGGGCCTGGCTGCAATCCCTGTGTCTCTGGGTCCTGGGCCGCAGGTATACCAGCAGGAACTCCTGCAGCAGTACCACAAGGAGCTGCAGGAGTGGAAGAGCGAGAAGTTGCGGCGGGAAGTGGAGTTCACCATCACAGACAGGAAAGTGAAGGTGAGACGGCAGCGTGGGCGGGACGGGCAGAGAGGGCGGAGGGCCATGGGGCCATCTTCCCTCTCATGGGGCTGATGGGCCTTCCTTTGACACTGAGGTGTCAACATGAGGTCTGAGGTATCCTCCATGCAGAGCCAGGCAGTCTGCCCCAAGAGGTTAGATTTCTTTCTTTACATTACGCAGGCTCCCAAGAGACTCTCTAGGCCTAGAGGCTGGCTGACCACCCGCCCTCACGTGGCCGGTGTTTACTGGGCGCTTGTCAAGTGCTGATGCCGGGAACCTGGGGCAACAAGACAGCGCTCACCTGCTGATGGAAGGAAGACTGTCAGGGACAGGCCCTGGAAACAGATGGCCGGGGTTGGGTTCTGGGCTTTGATGATTCCTAGCTCTGTGACCTTGGTCAAGTTACTTGACCTCCCGATTTCCACACCAGCAGAAAGAGGGGCATAGATGAGACAAGTTCAGCCATGAATTGCTCATTTTTGAAGCCGGTAGGTGGTGGGTCATGGAGGATTCTTTGCAGGTTCTCACATGACATTTTCATATTTTTAATTTAATGTAATTCAACCTGTTTAAAGGTTAAAAAGTATAAAAATATTTTTAAATGCAAGGAAAATATCTGCTTCATAGCATTGCTGTGAGAAGTAAATGAGTTTGTGTTCAGAACAGCACCTGCACCCAGTAAGCATTTACTGAACATGTTCGTAACTGGGGGGGGAGGTTGTTAACAAGCACGAGACAAAACATCCATCTTGGCCCCTCCCAACTGTACAGCCCCCGCCATGCTGACATTCTTGCACCTCCATCACCCGAGTCCGCCACACTGAATCTCTGAGGAGGGAGATCCCCCCTCTGAGGCTTGGCCTAACTGAATGCAAGTCACTTATGGGCGTGGGGCAAGGAGTTTCTCACTGAAGCCTTAATATGGGCGGCTGGTTCCTTATCACCAAACCACAAAGCCCCAGGGCTCAGGCACCCTTGAGGCAGCCTGCACAGTATGGTGGCATCTCCTTTCTTTCAGTTGGGTAACCAGATTTTCTCTAAGGCAGCATTTCCCTAGAGAAGGTTCTGGAAGAGGGTGTGGCAGGGTGTTGGGCAGAACCAAGAGGGCTGCAGATCCCAGCATGGGCTTCAGACCCTCCATGGGTGCAGGAAGGGAAGAAAAGAGAGAGATTCTCTAGAGCTCATCCATCCTAAGCAGGGGTCTCTTTGCCTCCACAGAGAAGGGTGTACCACACAGCTGGTGAACCTGTGAGGAAGTACAAGGTGAGCTCAGAAGCCCCAGACCCAAGTCCTTGACATAACTTGAGAGGGTCCTTGCTCAAGATGAGGGATATCTCCAGCCCAGGCGCAGCCTCTAGAAGGGACAAAAGTGGGCACAGACAGGGTGGGGCTCAGACCTCTGTGTGGCCCAAACACCTCATTATCCCAAGGGGGATAGGGACCCCTGGGGCTAGGGGTGCAAACCCTGCTCATCCACGCCCTCCCTTCCTAAAGACGCTGCCCCCCATCAAGAATGAGCAGCCTTTCAACCGACCTGCCAGCTGGAACCTTCAGACTCCAAAGGAGGAGACACCCTGGCCACACCCCCAGCCGCCCCAGCCGGGCACACTCTGCCTGGACCTCACTGCCTGTGCTCATGCCACCGAGTACTTCCTGGCCAACTTCTTCTCTGACTTTCCCTGCTACTTCTTGTACCGGTGAAACTCTCGGTGGTGTTGGGGGGTGTCCTCCCTCTGCTCTATGCCCCACCCCTCCCCAGAACGGGGGCTGCCTAGACCCAACTCTTGCTGAAGGGCTGGAGCAAGGGCAGTAGCTGAAGGATTGGCCCCATGCACCTCCTCGGTGCCTATAAGGCGGGATCACAGAGCCAGAGTCCCCTGGGGAGTCCCCTGTGCTCCCCCTGCCTTCCCCTTCCAACCTGGAGCCTCTCCAGGGGCCTCTGAGGGTTGGCTCGCTTCCCAGAAAGCAGCAGGACTGCTCTGGGCTAAGGCCCATACTCATTCATGTCCCCATGACCAGGCTTCCACCCCCCTGCCCCCGCCCTGAAGCCCGTGGTGGTCCACCCACGGACTCAGAATGTCACGGCCTGCCTCAGGGAGCTGCCGAAGAGGAAGCAGCCCAAGGCAGAGGCCGAGACTTCCGAGGAGGGCTCCCTCGACAAGTGGACCCCCGTCTCCAAGCAGAAGAAACAGCTCCTAGTAGACTGTCTCACCACCATCATTAGGTGAGCACTTGTCCCGGGCTCTACCCCACCTCCCCCTTCTCTCCTGCTCATTCAACCAAGCTCACCTGCCCACAAGTCCTTGAGGTCCTAACCCTTCCTTTGCTGAAAAATAGAACTTTCGCACAAGATCCAGACAGACCCTCCAGGATGGTGACATTCTGACAGAGTGGGCGGGAGGGACGCTGCAGGCTAGGCGCTGCAGGCTTGGTGCTGGGTTCTGCTCTGTCCAGACCCACCTGGTAGGTGAGATAGGCCACCAGCTCCCCAGGGCTCCTACCCGCCCTGTGCGTGACTATCACCTCGTGATTCCATCTCTGCCATGTCAAGACCCTCTGCCAAGGGTCCATGCACCCACAAGTACCTACTTGAAAGAAGGGTTTGTACAACAGCTAGCCAAGGGCTCCCCTCCACAGTAGGCACCAGGCCCCCAAGGGAGCTGCAGTCCTCTCAGCGAGGACCTTCCCCTGCCCCCCTCCGCCACCCAGGGGCCTGCTGGAAGACAAGAATTTCCATGAGGCCGTGGATCAAAGCCTGGTGGAGCAGCAGGTACCCTACTTCTGCCAATTCTGGAATGAGGAGTCAGTCAGGTTCAAGGCCCAGAGAAGTAAACTGCACTTACTGCCAATCGAGTCCTCGTCCTCTGACAGCTGGGAGGACAGGAAAGCCCAGGAGGACAAGCTGAAGCAAGGGAAGAAGGAAAGGGAGGAAGAGGAGAAGAGTGAAGAAGAAGAGGAGCTGCTGGAGGAGGAAGAGGAGGAAGAAGAGGAAGGGGAGGAGGAGGAGCAGGAAGAGGAGGAGGAGGAGGAGGAGGAGGAGGAGGAGGAGGGGCTGGGCAAGGAGGGACTGGAGGAGGAGGAGGAGGAGGAGCCGCTGGAGAGGGAAGAGAAGTTGACTTGGACAGAAAATGACCCCACTCAGCTGCCCAAGTCCCAGGAGTCTCTGAAGTGGCAATGGCAGCAGCAGCTAAAGGTCATGGTGAAGGAGGAGCAGGAGCAGGATGAGAAAGAGGCCATCAGCCGGTGAGCAGCAGGACCAGGGAGGCTTTGAGGGGCTGTGCGCATGCGCTAGGACCCTGGGCGGCTGAGGCCAGCCTCTGCCCCTGTGGCCTCGCTTCCGCTCAGCCCTCACTGACTACCTGGCAGCTACCCTGGGAGAGTATCGCAGGGGTTGGATCTGAAGTTAGTCCTCCCTCCAGAGCCTGGTTACTGAACGCTACGAGTGCATCACCTGCGGGGCTGGCCATAGCCTTCACCGCCTCATAAATGGGCTCCTGGAGCCAGCAGAAAAGTGCAGCCACCTCCCGGTCGGCGGCCTTACCCCTGGGGCTGTCCCGTGACTTCCCTCGGCTCCTCCCACCCCTTCTGTAGCCCCGCACGCAGCCTTAGCCCGGGCGCTTCCCCCCCAAACCCGCCCCTGGGCTGCGGACTCCGCACTCAAGATTGCCTGGTTCAAACCCCTCCACTTCCAGCAGCCGGATATTTGACAACTTGGTCTCTTTAAGCCATGGTTTGTGCGGCTGTAAACAGGAACGCCCGCGTGCCTCACGGTGTTGGGAAGGCCGCGGTGGGGTGAGAAGCCAGGCAAAACACGTGGCAAAGGTAGAGCGCCCGGGGAGAGGCCCGCGGGGCGCCCCAGTGCGCAGACAGGGGGGTGGGGGCTAGGTGGTGGGAGCGCTGCCACCACGGCTCTGCTCCATCTCCCGCCCCCTGCGACCCCCTGCCCCCCTCCCCTCCGCAGGCTCCCAGCTTTCGCCAACCTGCGGGAGGCACTGCTGGAGAACATGATCCAGAACATCCTGGTGGAGGCGAGCCGCGGGGAGGTGGTGCTCACGTCGCGGCCGCGCGTGATCGCCCTCCCGCCTCTCAGCGGCCCCAGGTGGGGGCGCCCGGGTCCGCCGCAGGGGTGACGCGGGCGCCTTGAGAGGTGTGAAGCCCCGGCCCCACTCCCTACCTGGGGCCTGCTGTCTTTCAGGACTCAGACTCCCGACCCACTGCTGGAGGTGGCCCCAGAGCCGTAGCCATCGGAGGTGCCCCGCGACCCTCCCTCCCACCCA